CCCGCCGGCGGCGCCGGGCCCGCGGGCGGCGCAGCTCCCCTCCCCCCGTCGTCGCCCCCAGCCTGTCGCATGAGGCTAGGGGCGCGTGACCCAAAACCATGCGAGCGGCGCGGCGACGGGGAGGCATCGCACCTTTCGCGAGCGGTTTGCATCCCGCCGCACGCCCCCCGTTTCCGTTCCCCCCCCTCCCTCCAAAACCCCCGTATGGCCCCCCGACGCAGGCTACAAGTGGCTGATCCAGGTGTACCGGCTTATACTGTATGCTATGCTGCTGCTGCCAGGGTTCACCCAGGTGTGCATGAGGAGTTTTGGGGGTTTGGGAGCCTGATGCAGGCCCCGCGCGGGGGCTCCACCGCCGGCGCCGCGGCCGTGGGCAGCCTCGGGGCGTGGACCCCGCGGCGGCGACTGCCGGCGGGCTGGGGGAGCCGCCGGCGCAGTGGTCCGTGCGGCGGGCGGCGGCGGACACGTTGGGGACACATCAAGGCTCGCCGCAGGCTTCGACGGCCTCAGGGGCGGAAATTTCGTCGCCCCACTGCCCCGGGCAGCGCCGCGCCGGGCCACTGGACCCAACCTTGTCCCGTCCCCGCCCCCCTCCGCTACCTCGACCCCTACCAACGCCCCTCAATCAGATGATCGCGTATTATTTCCTGTCACCCCGGGTCAAGCGGGACGTGCCGTACGGAAGGAAGGTGCGCCTCTCAGCCTTACCACACCCGACAGCTGATGGCGCCGCTGGCCGCACCGCCGCAGCGCCCTACTGTTGATTTTCGCGCGCCACTACCATGTCGCCCAAATGTGGATCATTTGGCCTCACCACCACGCCTGACTGCCAGGCCTGAAAGAATCGCGCTGCGGCGCGTCCGTGGCGCACCCGTCTGCAATACGATACACCACAGCGACATTTCAAAACCAAACATCCTCATCCCCCGTTGACCTGTTGACCCTGACAACACAACGCTGCATCGCGCCTCCACCTGAACCCTGCACATGTATGTCTCGGCGATCTGGTTTCGTGCTGCGATATGTCGTGACCTGTCGTGGTCTGTCGTGATCTGTCAGGCGCGGCAGGTGCTGGATCTGTACATCCCCAAGACAGCTGGGCAGGGCGGCCAGCTGGTGCCCGTGGTGGTTTTCGTCACCGGTGAGTGGGCGGCTCGAGTGACTGGAGTGACACGAGTGACTGGAGTGACACGAGTGACTGGAGTGACACGAGTGACTGGTACGGGCGCACGAGCGACTCGGACCACGTTCAGGCTGGCGGCGGCCAGACGTTGGACAAAGGGCTGTGCCCAGGCGGCCGTGGCGCGAGGCTGCTGAGCAGCCGTCCCGCCCGCCGGGGGGCGTGGGATTCAAGACGCCGCATGCTTATCCAGGGTTGAATCCCGCCAATACCGCGGCAACCGCAGCGCGTCGCACGCTTCATGCTTGCGCCCCGCCCTGCGGGCTCTGCGCCGCACGCTTGCCCCCACCCACGCAGGCGGCGCCTGGACGATTGGCTACAAGGCGTGGGGCGCCATCCTGGGGCGGCGGCTGTGTGAGGCCGGGGTGCTGGTGGCCTGCCTGGACTACAGGAACTTCCCACAGGGCGACGCGCTGCAGGTGGCTGGACTGCGCATGTGTGTCTCGTGTGTGTGTGTGTGTGTGTGTGTATGTGTGCGTGTGTGTTCGTGTGTGCGTGTGTGCTCGTGCATGCGCGTGTGCGTGAGCATTGTGTGCTAAGTCAAGGCCGAAGATGCGGCAGCATCCCCCCCTCCTAAATCCCCCGCCGCTCCTCGCCCTGTCTTTTGCACCCTACACCACCTCATCGCGACTCTTTCAACCCCATACAACCCCGCTACATTTTGCAATATTCGATCCTTCCGCCGCCAGATGATGGAGGATGTCAACACCGGCATTGCCTGGGTCACCCGCAAGATCGAGCGGTGAGTCACTTGGGGCCCCCCGCGCCGCGGCGCAGCGCCCGCCTGCTGCAACACAAACCCGCCCCACTTGCCGCGCGCCGCCGCCGTGCGCTGCCACTCAAAAAAAGGGGCCAGGCGCTGCTTTTCCCGTCACCGCGCATCCGACTCCAAAAGGCTGATGGCGTTTTTAGGAGTACCGAGGGCCGCTGATTCTGCTGCACCAAATTGAACCCAATTCGTGTGTGTGACGCAGGCACGGTGGCGACCCAGAGGCGGTCCATCTGGTGGGGCAGAGCGCTGGCGGCCAGCTGGCACTCCTGGCGCTCATAAATCAGGTGGGACTCGCCTCTGGGGGGCCTTCCCTCCACGCGCCGCTCCGGCCCCCCGCGTGCGCTACTCAACCGCCCGCGGGCGCCGCCGCGGGTGGCTGTGTGGAGGGGCGGCGCTGCTGGTTCGCTGCGCCGCCTCCTGCTCGGCGGCGCGCGGCGGCAGCTGTTTACGCAACTGCCATCCGGCGAGGGAATGGTTCCGTTCCGTTTGTTAGCGAATTATTGCAGTTGCAGCTGAACTTTGGTTTCTGCATTCAGTTTGCAGCAGACTGCACCCTATCCGGCCAACGACAGCGAGGCATCACCTCAACTCAGCAACCGCGCGCCGACCTTCCCTCACGCCGCGCGCCCACGCGCTGCCGTCGCTGCTGCCGCGCGCCGCCGCCCGCAGGTGGCGCAGGCGGCGACGGGCGAGGCAGTGCTGGGAGCGGCGCCCGTGTGGCACCCTCTTGACGTGAAGGCGTTTGTGGGGGTGTCTGGCGCGTATGATCTGGAGGGGCTCGCGGAGCACCTGCACAGGTGAGTTGAGTGTGTGTATGTGTGTGTATGTGTGTGCGTGTGAGAGACTGAAAGAGAGGAAGGGGAAACAGAGAGACGGAGAGGGGGAGGAAGTGTGTGTCTGCGTGTATGTGTGGAGGTGGGGTGGGGGGGCCTGCAGCGCGCTGATTGCTGTCATCGGCGG